CGTCAGATCTTAGAAAGTGTTCAGTATTTGCATGAATTGAATCCACAGATCATTCACAGAGACCTCAAACCCGACAATATATTGATTGACGGGAACGGAAGGAACGGTAGATTTGTTAAGTTATGTGACTTTGGTGTGGCTAAAGTCCACGAGAAAAACATAGATATGACTTATGATAAATACACTACAGGTATGGGGACACCAAAATACCAGGCTCCCGAAATAGCTCAGGGTATTAAATATGGGCATAAAGTAGACATTTATAGTCTGGCTATTATTGGCGCAGAAATAATAGATTTGGATTTATTTACCACAGACTCTGATAGGTATGAAATGTTTTAATTGATAAATTGATAAATTAATAAAATTTTATTTCTAAATATAATTCACTCGGTTTTAATTGCAATTAGCGTGATCACTTCCCGTTCTTGCATTGTAAATACTTTTAGCTGTTTTGTGCAATTTTAGTGTTCAATACACTAACCACTAGTTCAGTTAACTTATTTAAGTTTACTTTGAAAAAAATTAATGAAAAACTGATCATGATACTTTAGTTTAGTTGTTATTAATTCAATATTAGTTTCCTTAAGAATATTCTGATCAATAGCCCAATCATTATATTTATGCAAAACGTGTGAACAGTCAGGCCTTCGGTTATAAAGGGGAACAACCATTGAATGCAATATATTTAACATTTCAATGATTTTTGTTTTAATCGTTTCATTCCCGGAGTAAAGACTTTCGACACTATATTTAGAAATAAAATTTTATTAATTTATCAATTTATCAATTAAAACATTTCATACCTATCAGAGTCTGTGGTAAATAAATCCAAATCTATTATTTCTGCGCCAATAATAGCCAGACTATAAATGTCTACTTTATGCCCATATTTAATACCCTGAGCTATTTCGGGAGCCTGGTATTTTGGTGTCCCCATACCTGTAGTGTATTTATCATAAGTCATATCTATGTTTTTCTCGTGGACTTTAGCCACACCAAAGTCACATAACTTAACAAATCTACCGTTCCTTCCGTTCCCGTCAATCAATATATTGTCGGGTTTGAGGTCTCTGTGAATGATCTGTGGATTCAATTCATGCAAATACTGAACACTTTCTAAGATCTGACGGAATATTTCACACGAAATGAAGTACTCATAAGAACTCATGGCTTCCCCTAAGTCTCTCTCAAATACTTTTGGTTTTATTTCGAGAATATTTCTTAAATTCTGTGAACAAAACTCCATTTGAATGTAAAGGAAGTTGGTTTCGGGCCATGAGTTGTAATACTGGACCACATATTCTGAGCGAACTTTTCCTAAATTTTTCACTTCTTTCAGAATTCTATTCATATTTTTATCAGAAGAATCTGAAAGTATTTTTAAAAATTTCAAACTATTTATAAATAATTTTCATTTGATTTACCCTTCATTTGTACTCTTTTGACGGCATATATGTGTTCATCGAATCTATGCTTCACTTTAAATACAGTCCCAAAACCTCCCGATCCTATTGCCGACAACTCCTCGAAAAGGTTTTGGTAATGGTTTTCAAATGAATTGTTTCCCACTTTTGGTACTAAAATATAAACACAATTACATAATATTATTAGTAAATTATTTATTATTGTTTAATCTTTAGTACGATATAACAGTCGAAAGCGTGTGAAATGAGCACAAAAATAGATATATAAGTCGATATATTTGGTATTAAACACAAAAAGTAATTTAATGATAATCTTATGGAATAAGAGTTTAGATTTGAAAATAATGATTAAATAACTATACCTTCATTTGTATCAGAATTGGTGTTCAATGTATTGTAAGTTATTTGTTGTTTATTGGCGTAATAATCAACGAAATTAGTGTAATTATATCGTTTAACTTCATGCGGGGATATAATTGAATAAATATAATCGTCAGCTTTTATTATTAATAACCTATTTTCAAACGAGTGATACTCATTAAATTGTAGAACATTTAAGTTCAATGACATTTGTATCGGGGTACTTATTGTTTGCAATTGTTTCATATCATCCATATATTGGCCACAAATATATATTATATTATTATTCGATAGAAAACACGTAATATAGTTTTTTTCATTATTTGATGAACTGATTGATTTGATATCATTAAGAGTTGGGATCAATTTGGGTGACAATGAATTGCTGTCATTTGATGTATACCCCAATTCACCATAATCATTCAAACCCCAACTGAATACCAAACCCTCGACAGTAATGGCAAATGAACTAAAATGAAAACAGAAAACACTTTTGATTTGATAATTGTTCTCAAATTCAATCAATACTGGTGTCCACATTGTATTTTGTGTATTATTCCCAATTTGTCCACAATGATTCCAACCCCACGCATACACCTGCCCATTGGTGGTGAGGGCCAGTGTGTGATCACTACCACAACATATTTGTGTGATATTCTTGTCATTCAATTCGGATATGTTTTTATAATTTCCAAATTTTGTGTTTTCAAAATTCCGTTGTAATTTCCAAATTAACCAAAATAATCCGTTCGTATGTCTACCCAATTGTCCGCATTCATTGTCACCCCCACTGAACACATGATTCACATGATTGATAGCCAACACAAAGTTCAATCCATTCATAAACTGTTGTATCCTTTGATTACATAATTGTGGTATAATTTGTGGTGTTTTCACTTCATTCTCGTGACCCACACCCAGACAACCCAATTGATTACTACCCATACAATAAACCTGGTCATTGTTTGTGACAAATATTATATTTTTATATTTATAATGACTATGGAAAACATGAAATAATTTAATTTCGTGTTTAATATTCGCGTCAATCGTATCACAAATGCGAAACTTATTCAAAAGTTCGCACATTTTGAACACAATTATAAAATACAATATTTATTGAAATAACAAAAAAATAAAATTTAAAAATAAAACAAAAAACAGTTAATTATTTTAAACAAAACCTAAAATGAAGTCTAAATGAATAGTGATATGAAAGGCATTGTCATTGAAAATATGTGATAACTATAAGATATCTAATAACAGGTCATATATTGGGTTTGAATTCATTTATAATTAAATTAATGTTAAATACTTAAATTAAAATTGATTTTAAAATACTTTATATTTTAATAATAAAAACTTTACACAATCCTAATTTAAATGTTAATTTCTATATATATACTGTACAACTTTATCTATTTAATTAAAAGCTAAAATAAAATATTACTTAATGTACTGTATTTGTGAATTTTAATAGCTTTTGATAACAATAATTATCACAATTAAAAACCATTGGAAACAAAGATATTTATTTACAATAGATTTTTGTGACCTTGTATTTGTTAAATAATTTTTTATTTCTAATAAACACTACATTTTGATCGCAATATAACTTATATTCACACAAATAAATGACTTTTTAATTCCCATCAGAATATTGACACAGAATGAGGGAACTGTATGTAAAACTTGAGACCTGGAGTCAAAAACTATGTATTATTTAAACCCTATTTGATTTTCATATGAAAGGTGTTGTTATTATATCAATATATACGAGACAAACATAATACTCATTCATTTGTATAAATAAAATGTTTTATTTAATTATAACTCATTAATAAAATTATTTATTTTGTATTTAAAATAATTAACGCATATAAGTAATGAATGAATTTTTAAATTCAATTATTGTAATAACCCTGATGGCTTTATCTATTAAGTAATATAGTTTGAAAGTTTTTAAGTTCAACATAAATACAGTACCTTGAATTGTAACTAGGTACTCGCCAGTTAAATGTGGTGTTAACAATATAATAGTGACAAGGATATTTTTATAATAAAACTAAATATAATTTTAAAAAAGTAATTCAAGTAAATGACAAAAATATTAATTAAACGCTTCAAAGGATACGTGTTGTTATTTGTGTATTATCTCTAGCATGGTGGTGCTAGAGATAATACACAAATAACATTTTTAATAGTCATTTCAACATTTTTATTTACATATATTATTAATTAAATTAATTTTATAATTATAGCAAAATTTTATTAGTAAAATAAAAAAATATGAAGAAATAATACATTTATTCAAATGCCGTTTCACTATATCGCTTTAGAATATTAAGATTATCTAGAGATATAATCTCACAATTATTACGAATGATATTATTCTGTCTTTTCTTGTATAAAATTAATATAGAAATTATAATACTGAAAATAATAATTATTTAAATTAAAATTATACTAAAATAATTTTTAAAATACTTACCAAATGAATTATATTTTTAAAATATAATTGGCTTATCAAATACCAGTTGGCCATAGGTTTTGCCTCTAATAATTTCAATTTCTGGTAGAGATTGTGGAATGAGATAAATCAACTCATAATCGTGGCCTTCGTTTAAAATCGTCATGCCCACAGCCAAATTCTCGTATGTTAACTTTTCGAATTTACCTTCACCTTGATCAATGAAAATAGCTTTATGCCAACAAGTTAAACCCATTGGCACTGTGATTTTTAAATTCATTGGTAGGACATCAACATTTCTACGCAATTCACTGCCATTATACGGCGATTGAACATTATATATGAATTTATCATTAATTTCCTTAAAAATCCTCGGTACAAAACTGTTATACTGAGAGAGTATGGGAACCTCCATTAAATCATTTAATTTGTCGTTCATTATAATATTAATTATAAATGACTTACCATAGCACTAGTATGCACTAGTTTTATATACTTTTAATATAAACACTTTTTATCATATTTCCTTTAATTTATATAATTAATAGGAAATCAATCATCAACATGATTACTTGAATTTACAAACATTTCAGGAAAGAGTTCATGATAATCATTATTAAATATTTCAGACCTATATTTTAACACATTTGGTGTTCTTTGACAAATGTCAATTAACAAATAAGAAAATGGTTTTTGTGTTGAATCCGAATAAGCCATGTTCTATTTATAAGATTTAGAATGACCTTCCAATCTGTTAGCCAATAAATTAACCTGTAATTTCTCGTTTGGATTCCTTAGTAATACAATATAATTTGCATTTAATGTTATATCTCGCATATATTTAGATTTTGGATATAGATTTTGTGTTATAAAAATAACTAATATTAAAATGGTGAGATTTTTTTGTAAACAAATCACTCATTACCGAACTATTTATAACCTTTTGCATTTGGTCATCAACAAGTAATAAATTATTAATATTTGGATTCAATGTTAAGACAAGGTCATCATTAAAATCTGAGCATGTTTTAAAAGATTTTACATTAATATTATTTTGTAGATTATAATCATCACAACAATATACAATTCTTTCAAATTTTATATTAAATAAATAATTTAAATGTTTTATTAAATCTAAAACAAAAGTAGTTTTTCCAGAAGCCGATGGACCACAAATTATCCACCTACTTGGATGTTCAAAACTAGCATCATAAATATTTTCATTCATTTACAATTTATTTAATAATTTTCATTAAAAAGTAAAATGATTGATTTTTAGGTATAATATATAAACAATTTTCACTAATATCTTTTATAACATAATCAATTGGTTGCCTGTTTAATTTCTAATTTATATTGTATATAATCATTAAAATTATAAAAATATTCCCTAAAATTAAAATATTAAAAATTAAATTGATAATAAACATTTTTATAAAATTACTAACTTACATGACTATTTATATATTTTAGAATAAATCATGATGATAAATTTAACATGTGACTATTTTTTAAGTATAAAAAGGATACGCATAAAATTAATTTCAACATTCTACATTACACTACTATGGCACTATTAAATCCTAAATCTGTGACTTTTAATGATATAAGGGTAATTATTATTTTCAATGGATTTCAAATTGGTGATAATTATGAAGTAATGGAAATAGGATATTGGTCGAGAAAATGTAATGGGATGATACCATTTCATACTAATAAAAATTTTAATAAATTGGATAAAATTGAACAATTATGTACGAGATATTATACTGATTTTTATCATGGTATAAAAATTTCTACAAATTTATTAGATTCACTAAGTCAATCTGATATTACTTCAACATTGAAAATGCTTTACCACATATCAGACGATAATACATTGGATCGAAAATATATTGGAACTATACACGATAATCCGAGTTTAAAATATTTTGGTTTAGCGGGATTTGGAAATATTATTGTAAACGTTAATAATATTTATAAAACACCAGTTCCTTCTAATGGAGATATTTTAGAAAGTAAAATTTATGGATCAACGGATTATTCACCTTGTATAATGCACAAAAAACTACATGATGGTTCACCACCAATGTGTGCAATGGTTAAAGCTAAATGCATTGCTGATGATTGCGAACAAAAAGAAAACGATCGTCTTAAAAATAATTAAATATTTAAAATATACATTAAATGATAATCAAAAAGTTATAAATAAATGTTAAAAAATTATCTTAATTAATAAATTATAAAAATTTGAATTTAATGATTAGATATTTATTATTTTGATTATATTACTTATAATAATTTAATTTAAATATGTTCTGTTGTTTATTGTTTAATGTAAACTCTAAAGTTAAACGCCCTTAAATTCAACTTACACATGTTTATTTAAAATTATTTTCAATGATATATAAATAATTTTTATAAATTCTAGAAATCATATACATTACACAACAGATACGGTTTTTGGCAATAAATAAATAAATTTCCAAAATTGGCGCATAATTTATGGCCCAACATGTCTGTCCACAACCGCTACAAAATGGTGGTCATTCATGTGGTGGGCCTAATTTCGGCGTTAACTGTCCACTCGAGCGCCACCAAACACGTTGAACATCGTGGGCACCGGAAGTATTGTCCACTTGGCAACCGGCTCTACCTTCTCGGCCCCAAGCGGCACCCACCTAAGCAGCACCTACTCTAATAGTTCAATAGCGTCCCTGAAAACATACCAGTCCTCCAGTAATGCAGAGATTATTAATTAATGATAAGTAATAAGTATAACCGATTAATTAATTATATGAAATCTGACACAACCTTAAAATTGATATTAATTTGAGTTTAAAATAAAGAAATATTTCATTTTTTGTCTAAGAATGACAGACAGACATAGAGTCCGAAACACAGCCCAGAGTTTGATAATGAGATTCAATTAATTACTACTGATTTGTATCATAAAATTTATTTACAAAAAAGTATTATTTGTGTTAAAATATAGATTATATAAAACTATATGTCTTACTCAATTATTTTTAGGTTCACTTGAATTTGAATTCAACAAAATGCAGACATTTGCGGAAACACTTGCTTCGGCTGACTATAACCGGAAACTGGAAATCATCTAACATTCCCTACCAGTCCTGTGAAACCATTTTTTCACTACTCGTGAGGGAAACTAAGTACTACTTCTGCCAAATGGTGATCCCTGAAGAATATCTGAAAGGGTTGGCAGACATTCCTTACGACACTAGGGCTGGAATCAGAAATATGATGTGCTTGGACTGGACTACAGGTGCCCATCAGACAGGAAATGCATACTAAACATATTAGCACTCATTAAAAACTTCTACTCAAAGAATTAAGGTTTGTATGAATCGAGTATATATTATATTTACTGTACAGTTATCCCATAAAATCATAGAATTCTTGATATTCTTTAGTTTAAGAGTTAATATTTTGAACGACAGATATGTACAAAAAAGCGCATATATTTGGTGTGTTTTGTCGGACCCTCTCATGATCTCAAGTCTTGTACAGAAGATCCGGCTTCACATTCAATGAACTATTGGCCAAACCTTTCAAATACCTGTCCGTTATCTTCAATTGGCTGACGTGGAAGACGGTTCCACTGATAAGCAAAACATGGTTTGTCACGGAGTGTATTGATTCTGCCAATGCCTCCATTTTCTCTTTATTCACACCTAACAGATTTGTGCTAGATTATTGCTAATGCTATGTATGTATTGTGTTGTATCTGTGTATTACATAAAAATTACTGTATATATGAGTTCTACAGCATATTATATTATCGGAGAATTGTTGTGTTTGTCAAAAAATGAATTTCCTTTTAAAACTTATAATCTTTTTGAGAAATGTAAAAAGAGTTGAAATAATTGTCGCTATTTTGTGCCAAATATTAATTTCAATTCTTAATTATTAAATTCAATAGATATTTAAATTGATTTTTATTATTGCAAACTTGTATAGTATTAACAATTTTTGATTAACTTTTGATACATTCTTTAGATATTAAGTCACAGAGCAATGGGACACTTGCTATCAAATAAAGGCTTTAATTGAGACATCGATAACAGAATCGCAAACAGAATAATACAAAACTAAATGTAAAATAGATGTACAAAATAATACCGTTTTATATGTAAATCCCGTGATATGTATGACACGATTGATGAGGAGTTTTGTGTGAAACTGTTGTCTGAAGTGAACACACGTTGCGATCATTTGCAGCATTTGTTATGACTTTGTAATTGTAATCATATTTTTTCTATGAGTTGTTAGTGTTTTAACACTTGGATTGTATTAATGATTGAATTGTTTTTGCAATATTTCTGTATTTCTGTACTGTTTTTAGGAATAAATAAATTAAAATTTTGTTTATTGAGTTTATGATTGTTTTTTCAATGATTTTAATTTACAATATTTATACATTGTTAGAGTAGACCCGGCTGTTTAATGGTTTCAATTTGCGTGATATACTGAAATATATTTTTTAGCAGAGGTTATTATTAATAACTGATTCTAGTCCATGATTGATCTAGTACTAGTTGATCAGTGCAATTTTATTGTACAAATCTGTGTCCAATTTTGATAGTTACAAATTAATGGTACTAGTTGAGTACAATTGGGAATTTAGCTTTTGTTAAAACATTTTGAAAAATATACATGATAATTCTATAATCATATAAAATATGATAACAATGAGTAGATAAAGAAATAATTGTCCTAGATAATCTTTATATATTTGATTTGATGTTATTTCTATCGGGTTTTGTTGCATAGAATACAATAAGAATTGGTAGAAAAATAAGTTATCATTTGATTGAAGTCTACTTAATGTGGACTCAAATCGGGGATCATTTGCGAGAATATTCCGATCGATAGACCACTCGTTATATTCCGTCAATACTTCACTGCATTCAGGCCTTTGAGACCACATTGGGGTCGACATCATTGAGTGTAATATGTTTTTCAATGCAATTGATTTCCGGTTTAGTGTCTCATTCCCGGAGTAAAAGTCTTGAGAACTATTTATTAAGAAAATGTTTATTAATTTTAAAGTTTAACAATATTATTACACATACTTAAGTGATTGAGTTATAAATAAATCCAAGTCAAATATATCAGCACCAATTAATGCCAGACTATAAATGTCTGATTTATGGCCATATTTTCGACCCTGAGCTATTTCGGGAGCTTGGTATTTTGGCGTCCCCACACCTGTAGTGTATTTATCATAAGTCATATTTATGTTTTTCTCGTGGACTTTAGCCAAACCAAAGTCACATAACTTAACAAATCTACCGTTCCTTATATTTTCAGCTATTAATATGTTTTCGGGTTTGAGGTCTCTGTGAATTATCTGTGGATTCAATTCATGCAAATACTGAACACTTTCTAAGATTTGACGGAATATTTCACACGAAATGAAGTACTCATAAGAACTCATGGCTTCCCCTAAGTCTCTGTCAAATACTTTTGGTTTAATTTCGAGAATATTCCTTAAATTCTCTGAACAGAACTCCATTTGAATGTAAAGGAAGTTGGTTTCGGGCCATGAGTTGTAATACTGGACCACATATTCTGACCGAACTTTTCCTAAATTTTTCACTTCTTTCAGAATTCTATTCATATTTTTATCAGAAGAATCTAAAATTATTTTCAAAAATTTTAAACTTCGTCGAATAATTTTCATTTATATTTACCCTTCAATTGCACTCTTTTGACGGCATATATGTGTTCATCGAATCTATGCTTCACTTTAAATACTGTTCCAAAACCTCCCAAACCTATTGGCGACAACTCCTCAAAAAGGTTTTGATAATGATTTTCAAATGATTTGTTTTCAAATTTTGATACTACAGTATAAACACAAATAAATTATATTAGTAAACTAAATAAAAACTAAAGTAAAAGTAAGTAAAACTATTTATTATTGTTTAATCTTTAGTACGAAAATAACACTCGAAAGCGCGTGAAATAAGCCTTAAATTGATATATAAGTCGATATATTTGGTATTCAACACAAAAAGTAATTTAATGATAATCTTATGTAATAAGTTTAGATTTTTATGCAATAATCTATAAAATGATGATTAAATAACTATACCTTCATTTGTATCAGAATTGGTGTTTAATGTATTGTAAGTTATTTGTAGTTCATTGGCGTAATAGTCAACAAAATTAGTGTAATTATATCGTTTAACTTCATGCGGGGATATAATTGAATAAATATAATCGTCAGCTTTTATTATTAATTGCCTATGATAATAATACGAGTGATGCTCGTTAAATTGTAGAGCATTTAAGTTCAATGACATTTGTATCGGGGTACTTATTGTCTGCAATTGTTTCAAATCATCCATATATTTGCCACAAATATATATTATATTATTATTCGATAGAAAACACGTAAACCTATTGTTTCCATTATATGATGAACTGATTGATTTGATATCATTAAGATTTGGGATCAATTTGGGTGACAATGATATGTTGCCATTTGATGTATACCCCAATTGACCATACTCATTCCTACCCCAACTGAATACCAAACCCTCGACAGTAATGGCAAATGAATTATAAACAAAACAGAAAATACTTTTGATTTTATAATTGTTCTTAAATTCTATCAATACTGGTATCCATATTGTATTGTTTTTAAATTTTAATAATACTGGTGTCTGTATTTTATTTCGTGTGTTATTCCCAATTTGTCCATAAAGATTCCCACCCCACGCATACACCTGTCCATTGGTGGTGAGGGCCAGGGAGTGATTAGTACCACAACATATTTGTGTGATATTCTTGTCATTCAATTCGGATATGATTTCAAAACCTAATCCTTTCGTATGTCTACCCAACTGTTTCACCCAATTGTTACCCCCACTGAACACATGATTCACGTGATTGATAGCGAACACAAAGTCCCCTCCATTCATAAATCGTTGTATCCTTTGATTACATAACTGTGGTATAATTTGTGGTGTTTTCACTTCATTCTTGTGACCCAACCCCAGACAGCCCCAAGCATTACTTCCCATACAAGAAACTGAGTCATTGTTTGTGACAAATATTATATTATCATATTTATCCCCATATTCATGACTATTGAAGACATGAAATAATTTAATTTCGTTTTTAATATTCGTGTCAATTGTATCACAAATGCGAAACATATTCAAAAGTTCGCACATTTTGAACACAATTATAAAAAACAATATTTATTGAAATAACACAACAATAAAATTTTAAAATAAAACAAAAAACAGTTAATTATTTTCAACAAAACCTAAAATGAAGTCCAAATGAATAGTGATATGAAAGGGTGTTGTCATTGAAAATATGTGATAACTATAACATATGTCTGAATGTATAGTGATTTACAATAGCTTTTGATAACAATAATTATCACATTTAGAAAACATTGGATACACAGATATTTATTTACAATAGATTTTTCTGACTTATTTATCAAAAAATTATTTATTTTTAATAAATACTACATTTTACAGTATATTGCAATAAAATGTACGGTATTCGGTCATTTGACCTACAAGTCGTTTTACCTACAAGTGATCATTTGACCTACAATACCTACAACGTTAAATATATACAAAATTTAGATTTTGGACACAACCACTAACTCCTTGTAGAGTTAATGTATTTTTATGGGGATTTCGATGTTTCTACGAGGGAAAAGAGGTTTCCACGTGGGAATGCCAACTCCATAAGGGGAGTTGGTGTTTCTATGAGGGAAATGGGGTTTCTTCGTGGGAAAGCCAACTCCCTAAGGGGAGTTGGTGTTTCTACGATAGAAATGGGGTTCCCCATTTTTCTTAAAGTTATTTATCCATAACTTAAGGTAAACCAAAAGTAGAGTAAGCATCTAAACTATGATAAACTATAATTGCTAAATTAATTTTCTCTAATTTTTACTTATTTTTTGGATTATTTTTTGTTTTATTAAATTTTTTGTTTTAACTAATTATAATACTTACAAAATTTCATCACAATCCTGTGAGCTATTCCACGCAAGAACTCCTGAACTGACGTCATATCAACACGATTTTGGATTACTGTTCTCAAAGCAATTTCACGTGTTCTCTGCTGTGGGGGAATTCTCACTCTTGGCTCTCCTGAACTTATCAATTCAATGAGTCCACAAATTCGATTTTCCTCTTCTCTATTATGATTAATTATCCGATATATACCCACATGTGGCGATCCGGTCAATGTATCCCAACGCGAATGCCAGGCCTCGCAATGATTTGTCGTTCGTGGGAAACCAAACTCATTGTTCTCCCAAACAGACTAAATCATTGGATCAAACGATGGAGGGGAAGGGATTCGCCGATCACCTGTTACATAATGCACAGCAAACCATTTCAAAAGTTCTCGAAAATCTTTTCGAAGAAGAGGAACAACAATATCACGAAATGCATTAGGGATTTCCTCCGATGAAAGAAAAGCCAACGCAGCCAACTGCCGAACTCTTAAACTATTCTTATCCTCTATATTCACTTGTTAAGCGCAAAGATTGAACTATTCTGAAAATTATTTGCGACAAATGGAACAGACAAGCCTTGTTTTGAGCCCCTGGAAACACATTCCGAACCGAATGTATGGCCGCCCTCTCAGTCTGTTATCACAAAATCCGGTCTTAAAGTAAATCAAAGAAATTCAGCCAATCGTTTAATTTCAGTGAATAAAGCCGTATAACAAACTTCTGATTTTGATGACATGAGAGCCCAGACAACTGGAAGAATTCTAGAATTTGTCGCCGGATTTCCAACCTCACAATGAATTGAATATAGTTGGCATAATAAATGAGGCACCGTTTTAAATGTCCCATCCATTAACCAAACACTTGACCGAAACAAATGAACAACATGTGTGGGATTAAGGAAAAGGAAGACTTTTTCACCATCAACTACAACCTCAGTAAAAAAATTTATACCAGATATTGTTCGCCGACAAGTAGTCTCCTATTCGAAATCAACAAGAGTTGTTGGTTCTCGAGGATTATTCTACCCACCAGCCCTAACAATTCTATTTCAGATTTGGCTCAATGTTGATTTCTGAAAAATATATTTTAGAACTTTATATTTCTTAAGTACAAACCCCAATTCCCTCGTAGAAATTCCAACTCCTCGGAGGAAGTAGGCATTCCTATGGGGAAACCCCATTCCCCTCGTAGAAACACCAACTTCCCATAGAAATACATTAACTCTACGAGACGTTATGGGTTGTGTCCACACACAACGAAATCCCCATTGAAATACATTAACTCTACGAGATGTTAGTGGGTGCGTCCAAAATCTAAATTTTGTAAATATTAAACGTAGGTATTGTAGATCAAATGACCCAAGACCGTTTCCTATGCAAAACCAATGATTTTTAAAGATAATGTAGTACTCACGTGTTTAATATGGGGGTACTCCACCCGATACCTCCATTTTACCCAAATCCCGTAACAAAAACCCTCCTATGGGCATCGATGCGGCATACGAACAACCCTTATGGCCGACCGTTACGTCCGTTATAACCTCACAGCAGTACCCTATTATTCCCTTTAAACCATTAGGCGGTATACGAGGTTAATAGCTCACCCATTATGTCCATCTGTAGGCCCGACAGTCTCCGATCCTGGCGCCTAACGCCCTAATCCAATGAATTGCAACTAGAATTGGCGTAGTATACTCAGTGCATATCGCTTACTAGCAAAACACGAACCTTACGTTACTTAAAAGCACAGCCGTCTAAGTCGAGTAGTACTGAATAAATGAAAGTGCTATATAACACTTTCATACCGACCCACTGTAGGCGCAGGCTGTGACATGTAAGCAGCAGAGCGGCTGTTCTCCATCTATCGGTGAAATGAGGCTACGTCTTGGTAGCACTGGATGACGCTGACATAGGTACGTGTAGTAGTGGTAAAATCGACAGGGCAGGGCTGGCTAAACTTCCTGTCGACCCCTACATAAAACAGTAATCCTTAAACATCTAAAAATAGAAACAGACATGCACTGAGTGAACTACGAGTTGACAGCTAGTGAACACTCTTACCAACCAGGTAGCCAAGGCATAGAGATCATCCGAGACTTCTTGCTATCAGCCAATGGCAAGAGTTACGCAGTATCAGATTTGCCGCAGCGCAGTGGGCTAAATAAGGGACCGCTCTGGAACGCCCAAGTGTCCTCTCTCCTTATTTTCACTTTTAACAAGTGCTTCTCTTCTTGCAAGTCTCTAAACTCGTAGCAGTCTCGTCACTTTAAATTCTTGTCTAGAGAACTCTTACCGTATATTCGACACCTAACCAACCTACTCACTCCACTTGTTCACATCTCTTAATCTACTGTATTCTGATCGTAACTAAAAGACTCAATAAAGCCTTATTATTACCTACGACGATTGTCCCGATTCTTGTGGAGCCCGAGTCAAGACTTCAGAGGTAAACGAGTAGGGGGAGAGAGACCGGACTGACACAACCTACGACCATTGGCAACGCCGACAGTGGACCCCTTGAAGACACCCGAAGCGTCAGCCCAACGGTAAGAGTATCATTCAAAAAATTCAAAATCAAAGAATATTACTAACTCGTTAGTAGATCCCAGGAGATCATGTTCGATAGTCGAGTAGTGTAGTGCGTAGCCCTGAGTCGGGCTCCATTAAAAAGTGTCCCGCAATTGACTCACTATAATCACATAGTTCTGAGACAGACTAGGCCGGGATGCAATGCTAAGCCGCGCCTGGGTGGTCGCGAGGCCGACTCCAGAGGCTGCGTACCGCAATATGTTCCGAGATAATGCTATCCAAGAATTGTAGACCAAATGACGCAACACGTGAAGTGTTTAGTGACCAGTAGTACTCGCTGCGGGATTGAGTCGACACTCAATCCGAGGTTCAAACAACACATGATTCTCGTTAACAATAAAACGCAGAATAAGAGCTAAAACATAGCTTAAAATACTTAAATAATGGCATAAAATGACTTTACGGGCCACTTCAGGGCCGGGTCCTGATCAAACGCTACAACCTTCACGGCAATCACTCTACTAACTGAGAGGGTTTGATATAAAAGTAGCGTTTATTAGCAAATTCAGGACTGCTTTGAATACAGAAAAAGTGCTGTCTTTTATACCAACCAAATGAGTCAAATATAAAACGTCTTAAAAACTATTGGTTAAAACCATACAAAACCTCATGAACTTTAAATTGTGAAATAAAACATTAAAACTTATAAATTAAATATCAAAAGCCATCGAAAATAACTATAAACTGATTATAACTGATATTATTTACCACACATTAAACAGTCATATCTTATGACAGATATATTCAATAATAAGTCATAAAATATATACTTAATTTATTTAGCGAATTTTGTTCATTATAAACTTACTTTGGAATTTGAATACTATATAAATTATTTCATATTTATATTAGTTAAAAAAATCATTATTTTTATAATGAATCGTATGGTAACTTCGAGATCGATTATCTCAAAAACTGGTAGTTTCCGAGTCCACGTTTATTGACTAAACTCTTTCTTATGATCTAGGCTATTAATAAATACTATGGTGCAATTTGTGAAATATTAAATAAAAATTTAAATATTGCGTAATTTCTATAATGCAAATACAATAGGAAATAAAGTAGTACCGGGTTGGTAGATACCAAAAAATTTAAAACTTTAAAATTCATAAATAAAAAACCGGTGGTTAAAATGAGGTCTAGGTGGTATGGGAGGTGTCAGGGGGTGTTGGGTATCCAAAAAGTACGTCTACTTAAATGCGGTATAAGTGATACTTGATCACTGTCTGTTTTATATTGTTTTACAAAATATCTCTATTTATATCAAACTAATATTTAATACCTATATATTTGCAAATATATACAAAATTTAATATGAAATCTGTGTTTCATCGGTAATTTTAATTGTTTTTAATTTCAATAAAAATCTTCAAATAATACCGAAAGGAATGATATTTAATTCATTGATATAATGGGAAGTATTCTTATGGAGAGCATTTACTTTATG